GCTAGAGCACTCCATTCTGCAATTATAATTCCCCAATCTGACACCAATGATAATGACAAATGACAAATGATAACCTCAAATGATAATGACAGGGAGAAAAGACCTTACAATTAATTGTGGGTTGGGGTAGATGTAAAAAGAACGGACTACTGTACACGGGTGGTTATCAATTCACAAAAAAGGACCACCCATTTCCATCTAAGTCTTTAAAGGGCTCTAATATAAACTTACTCCTTCATTCAACCAATAAAAGGTAATGAAGAAATTATGTAACTAATCCAAGATATTTATTATAGGCATGGAAAATCACTAATTTATAGGATAAATCCTACCAAAATGGGTTAGAGCTCTAGAATCTACATTTTTTTAAAAAAGATTTTATTTATTTATTTGACAGAGACAGATCACAAGTAGGCAGAGAGGCAGAGAGAGAGAGAGAGGGAAGCAGGCTCCCAGCTCAGCAGCGCTGAAGCAGTTGCTGAAGGCAGCGACTTAACCCACTGAGCCACCCAAGTGCCCTAGAATCTACATTTTACCAAGCTAGTCATCTAACCAATTCAAATTGCATTTAAGGACAATGACAGGATATTTAAACGCCAAAGAAAAAAGACATAGGTTCCACTTAATGCAATTACTATATGAAGTCTTCTAGGACCAAATCGCTTCGCAAAATAATCCTTGGTACTTTTGTTCTCTAGAAAATCCCCCCCAAATTCTTAAATAAAATCAACCCCCAACCCTGTTAGTTTTCTACTGTTGCTATAACAAATTACCACAAATATAAAACAACACAAATTTATTATCTCACAGTTTCTATAGGCCAGAAGTCAGGTGGGCTTGGCTGGGTCTTCTACTTAGGGTCCTACAAGACCAAAATCAAGATGGCCACCTTGCTCTGTTCCTTGTTGGAAAACTCCAGCGGGAAATCTGCTTCCAAGCTCATTTAGATTGCTAGGTAAGTTTAGTTTCTTATGGTTGTATGACTGATGCCCCCATTTCCTTGCTGGCTGTCAGGCAGGGCTGCCCACATGCTTTCCATGAGGCCCCCTCCAGTAATGGTAGGCTGAGTCCCTCTCATGTTTTAAATCTCCGACTTGTTCTGCCCATCTTTCTGACTCCAGCTGGAGAAATTCTCTGCCTTCATGTTAGATTGGACCCACTCAGGAAATCCAGGGTAATCTTCCTATCTTAAGATACTTAAACCATAATTATATTTGCAAAGTTCCTTTTGCCACATAATGTTAATATATTCAGATTCCAGGGATCAGGGGAGGGGGACAGGGTATCATTTCATCTACCACAGCCCACCCTCTGACCTCCAGAGAGTCACATCTCTCCCAAACACAAAATACATTCCTCCCACATTCTGAGGTCTCATTCCATTACAGTATTAACTCGGAAGTCCAAAAAACTCACCTAAACCTGATCAATTAAAAAGTCCCAAATCTCATTCTTCTAAATCAGGTGTGGATGAGGCCCTGGGCATAATACAATTAAGTACAACTCATGAGGCACAATTCCTGAAAACAAAAAAGTTATCTGCTCCCAACATACAATGGTGGGACAGGCACAGGGCAACAGTTAAAGACATTCCAGTTCCAGCAAGAAAAATGGAAGACAAAACAGATCCACTGGTCCAAAGCAGTTTCAAAATCTGGGCAAACTTTGCTCCTTTTCAAAGTTAAGGGGAAAATCTTCTGTAGCTTTCAGCTCCACTTCTCTGTGCTCTTGGTTCCACCCTCCGAGTCACCCACCTTTATTAATGAAAAGCAGCATACTCACGCTTGAGTTTTATCAGCCTGTTTCCTGCCTAGAACTTGGGGGTTTTAACAGCCTTCTTTAACTTTCTACTGTCTTTTTCAATCCTAGCTGGCATTGTTTCTGATAGTATAAAATCCTCAAGGACCTCATTGGCTTTCTATAAATTTCACAGGGGTTCACTCCATTAGTCAGACTCACATCCACAAACACACCAGACTGCACCTTCAACACTTTGCTTGGAAATCTCCTCTGCTGGATAGCCAGGTTCATCACTTACCAGTTCTCTTTTCCACATAACCACAGGATACAATTCTAAACTTTTTTTGCCACTATATAGCAAAGATCCTCTTTCCTCCAGTTTCCAATGCCTACCTTATTGCCACCTGAGCCCTAGCTTGCAGTAAACACCCATATTTCCACAATCTCTTCTAGGCCTTTTCTACCATATGCCTCAAAATCTTTCTGGCTTTCATTTCCACGTTTTTAGGTAACAGTACCTCACTCTAGGTACCAAAAATCTATACTAGTGTTCTACTGCTGCCATAATAAATTACAACCAACAGGAGTGGCTTAAAACAATAGAAATTTGTTATCTCACAGTTTCTGTAGGTCAGAAGCTGGTTGGGTGTGGCTATGTCTTCTGCTTAGGGTCCCACAAGGCTAAAATCAAGGAATATTCCCTGCTAGAAATTCTGGGCAAGAATCCACTTCCAAGGGGCACCTGGGTGGCTCAGTCGGTTAAGTGGCTGCCTTTAGCTCAGGTCACGATCCCAGAGTCCTGGCATCGAGCCCCACATTGGGCTCCTTGATCAGTGGAGAGCCTGCTTCTCCCTCTGCCTCCTGCTCTGCCTACTTGTGCTGTCAATAAATAAATAAATAAACTCTTTAAAAGGGAAGAAACAGAAAAAAAAAAAAAAGAATCCACTTCCAAGCTCATTCAGGTTGTTGGTCAGTTTCTCATGGTTGTAGGACTGAGGTCTCCATTTCCTTGCTGGTTGTCAGCTGGGGCGCTACTAGAGGCTGCCCGTATTCCTTCTCATGTTTCCCTGTGGCCCCCTCTAGCAACAGCAAATGGAATCCCTCTCATGACTGGAATCTCTGATTTCACCCTTTTGCCCTCTCTTGACTCCCAGGTGGAGAAAGTTCTCCGCTTTTAAGGCCTCATGTGATTAGGCTGGGCCTACCCATGAAATGCAGAATAGTCTTCCTATTTTAAGATTCCTAACCCTAATTAGACCTGTAAAGTCCCTTTTACCATGTAACATATTTATAGAACCTGGGAATTAAAGTATGGACATCTTTTTTGGGAGGGGTGGCATTCTGCCTACTATAAACACAACCCCTATGTAGGGCTTTAAACTCAGTTCCTGAAGAAAATTCCCCCTCTCTCCAAAAGACTGTGAAGTAAAGATATCTGTTCTGAGTAAAATCAAAGATTCACCCTGTAAGAGTGGCTAGGCAACAGGAGAACTAAAAATACACTGTGGGAAAGAAGCCGCCACTTGTTTCATCCCCAGACAGCAAGGCAATAATCCCTTTACGTAGAAATAACCCAATATTCCCCTTAAATATATGCTCTCTTCCTTACTTTATTCCATAAAAGAGAACATAACTGGGCATGTTTTTGTTTTAACAAAAGTTGTCCCAGGGTGACCTAACTTTGTACCAGTTGATAAATCAATCTGAGCAAACTTCAAATCTTTTCATTCTTTCTTGAAGTCATACACCCTCCCCCAATGGCACATGAAAGTAAGTATTTCAAAGTCACAGAAGGGTAAACCTGTCCAGATAAAACAGCAGGTGAAGTTTTTCTAAATGACTCGGGAAAGATCAGGTTATTGGTACTGGTCTTTCAGTCAAAGGTCCACCAAGCCAATTAAGTCAACTGATTTACAACAAAAGAAAAAACTGCAACAATTACTACAAAAGTAACATTCTGAAGTCTTGCCTACTGTTAAACTGTTGACCACAAATTTTACCTAGAACAGAGAAAGCCCAAATATACCAGCTAGTTCCTTTAATCTATCAAGCACTTACTACCTGTCAGGCACTGTGGTAAACACTTGACACAAATTATCTTATTTACTGCTCACCATAACTGTATGATCTAGGAAATACTGCCCCCACTTTACAGATAGGAAAACCAAGGATTACAAAGATTAGGGCACACAGCTAAGCAGTAATGGCACTGATATTTGAGAACCCAAGCACTCTGGTTCTTTACCACTAGCCTGTATTGCCACTCCTTAGATGTAATGCAGTTTCCCAACTCCTAGAAAAATCGTCCCTTTCTAGTTTTCTTTTCCTGTCCTCTCCCCCATGCCCTTCTCATAGAACTCAGTAGGAAAGGTAATCAAGTCTTACCAAATTAATTTACCACCTTCTTTTCAGAACTCTTCCCTTCCCACAATAGCAAAAGTCAAGAAGCGACTTCTTCCGACCCTGACTTTGCTTTCCAAAAACAAACTACTGAAGCTCCACCCATCACCTGCCTAGACTAGTAACGTTCCAACGCTGCAAAATAACAAACAACAAAATAACCAAAACGAAAATAAAAGTCGTACTCTTTCAAAAGGTCACAAACTTAACATGTATACTGTTGGCCAAGCTTTCATTCTACAGACTTCTCTTCCACCTAGGCTCCCAACTAACCTTTAACTCCAACTCCACCCATTCTGCCCCACTTCGTGGTCCCCTCCCCCTTTCTCCCCAGAGACCTCGCCAGGGGTTCCCTCCCCTCTGCACCCCAGTCTGCAGGTGGGAAGCCCAGCCTGGCCCAGAGGGACCCTTAGAAGGCCCCTACTCCAGCTGCTCCGCTCCGCGGGAGGGTTCACCCCACCCTACCCAGCAGGCGCCACTCCCCTAGGCACCCTCCTCCAGCATCCCCTAGTGGCCCCACCCCTCAAGCTCCCTTCCCCCTCCAGCAACCCCCTCCTCCAAGTTGCCCCCTAGTCCCCGCCCCAGGCCAGCCCTCTCCCCCGCAATAAGCGGGAGTCCCGAAAGCCAGTTCCCACCCTCACATCAGCCTCTGCCCCCTAAGCCTCGCTCCCCGTCCTGGAGGGTGGCCCCAGGCCTCCCCGATGGGCTGCAGGGGCCTCGGCTGAGGTGGGGGGGGGGGCAGGGGAAGGCGACGGGCCGCTCCGGAGTCCGCTGGGAGCGCGAGGGGAGACCGCGCCGCGTTGTCCCATCCTGGGCCCACCTCCACACCCAACGATCTCGCCTGGCGGCTCCCACCGTACCTGTGGTGGAAGCGGCAGCGGCGGTGGCCGCTCTCCCCTCTCCTCACACAGACAATATGGCGGCGGCGGAGGAGGAGACACACGGCTCGGCCGCCAGCCGCAGGGACCAGAGCGAGGCTGCGGCCGCCGCTGCCGGAAGCGGAAACCCCCTTCCTACCAGGAGGCGGGGCGGGACCTCTTCCGACCCCACCCCCAGCGGAATCTGGCTGAGTGCGGCCATGCTGGGACGTGCTATTGTATCTTGCAGTTGCGGTTCCGAAGTGGGGGACAAAATGGAAGATATTCTCAATGTAAAGCATAATAAAGAGATTTGCAGTAATTAAGCGCATTTTATTTCAGTACTTGTGAAGAAATGACGAGGCAAAGAAGAAGAACCTCCCGTAGGTGTACAATTGGTTTGTCCCAAGCTAAGATGGCGGTCCCTATGTTTCCTGCACTTCCCCCAGCTGACGAGTCGACAAGCCGGCAGGCCTTTCTTGAAGCATGCGCGACCCGCAGGCTGTACAGCGAAGCATTTTGGGAGTTGGAGTCTCTTGCTCGGACCCCTCGACTAGGGTTAGGGTTCTAGCAGCACATTTGCTCTGCTCAAACTTTGAGTTCGTGACAAACGAACGAAAACAGTTGAACCCTCGGAGTGGTGCGACGCTGGAGTCGAGGGAGTGATGATCCAAGCCCTATAGAGACTTGAGACCCAATTCCTGCCTCCTACAGGAGTCCTATTTAGAACTGCCCATTAAAATAAAGGCTTTTCTTCCCTCTGGTTTGCGCTTTCTCCCCCTCCCCCGGACCAGATGACCTCCCCAAAGCAGCCACGGGGCACTTTATATCTTGCAAACCTGATCATGGTGTCCTCATGGATAAAAATCTTACAAGGCCCTCCTTTGTGCACCGAAGATAGCCTAAATTCTTCTCTTCACATCCAAATTCCTAGATAAATTGGACAGCCCACTCACTCCCCTTTCTAACCTCCTATTGTGCCCTTCCCCTGTCATATTTCTGATGCTTCTACCCACTAAAACTGCCAGCTATTCCCGGAGCTTATCTGTGTTGCCTCCCTCCCTTTGTCGCTGGCGGTTACTTCTGTTACTGTTATCCCCTGAACTAGCTAACTTCCGTATGTCCATTGGATTAATTCAGGGATCCTTTCGTCTGGGGTTCTTCCCTGCCTTGAGCTTCCCCAAACGTTTGCACCATCATTCAGAAGCCTGACTGGTCCCTAATCTGCCTCCTCCATCAGACTGTGAGCCCCCAGTGGACAGGGCTGGGTATGATGATCACTGTCCTCTCTGCAGGCCCTGCAAAAAACTGGTGTGTTACTGAGAGGAATTCAAGTATTAGCCTCACCTCCAGTGGGGCAGAGGTGTGAGGGCTGGAACAAGGGTGAGGAGGCTGGGTTATTTTGGTACCAGCTATTATCCCCTGCGCTGCCTCAGAATAGCTGCCTGGCCCAGGAATGGGCCCTCCCACCCTCTCCAGCCCTCCTTTCACAGTTTGTCAGCTCACTGGCACCTCTGCTCCCAGAGGAGAGACAATCACCTCCCCTATATGGGGATGGGCGCAACTGCAGACATGCAGCAATGACCACCAGGAGGTGACTGTGACCTTTTCTGGGCTTATCTGCCAGACAGGTCTGCAGCATTTGACCCCAGGGGCTGAGAATCTACAGTAATGGCTTTCTGGGTGCTGGAAGGTGGGTCGATCCTCTTCTCTAGGCCTGTTTCTCCACCTGTGGACTGAGAAGGTTTGACAAAACGATCCCAAAGTTTTCATGAAGACGTTTTTAAGGAAATGACTGGCCTTCCACTTGGCTCATGGATCTTGTCTGTTTGTCTGTTTGTCTGTCAAGCCAGCTGTCATGGATCCTTTGTTCATATTTATTCAGTTCACAGCTATTAGTTACTTGCTATGAGCCAGACACAGTGCTAAGTGCTGGGGTTGGGGTATGAGCGAGACAGACACCAATTCCGTGTGGAGCTCACTTTCTGAAGTGAGAAACAAATAATACGTGGGTAAGCAAAGAAATAAACAACATAGTTTCCGGTAGCAATGAGTGCCATGAAGGAAAAAGATAAGTAGCTATGGAAAAGACTAAATGGGGGAGCACTTTAGCTTGAGTGGTTTGGAAGTTCCCTCTGAGAAGGGAGCAGTGAGTACAAAGGTCCCGAGACAGGGAAGCATTGGGTAAGTTTGAAGAAGGAGACCAGGGTGGCTGAACCACTGTGAGTGAGGGAGAGAGAGTAAGGAATCCGATGGGAGAAGTGGGCAGGGAACTCAGGCCATGGTAAGGAGTCTGGGATTTCATGTGAGGAGAGTGGGGATATTGCCCAAGGCTTAGCCCTCCCACCTTCCTGTGGTCTCAGCCCCTCCTACAGTGTCAGTTCTTCCTTCTTCCACCCAGTTCTAGTTTCCATCCATGACCTCATTCAGAGAGTTCACACAGGCACACACATATAATCCTTCCCATTAAAGAGGACAGAAATGAGCCCCAACCCCTGCCATCTCCCTGGCTGCCTGGTATAGATCTCTTGTCCCAAGAAGCTCCCATTCTCCAATGTTTCAACCAGTTATGGAGGGTCCAAAAGACCAGCTCAGTTTCCTTTATTACTTATTCTTCCTGACACCCCACATGACAACTCTCAGTTGAGACTTCCTTCAAACAACAGTAGCAGTGATCCCATTTAAGAGCTAAAGTACTTGCCCTGGGCCTCACAGTGAATGTTCACCATCTCATTTAACGCTGACATCAGCCTGATGAGGTAGGAACTAAAAGTAGCCTACTGCACAGATGAGGAAACCGAGACTAAGAGAGATTATGAGACATGACCCAGGGGACCCAGTGACAGACCTTGCATTCCAACCTAGGTCATCCTCTCTGCACCAAACCTAAATATATCAGCTTTCTACTGCTGCTTAACAAAGCACCCCAAGTACAGAGGGGCTTAAACCAATAATTATTTATTTGCTTCTGCTGGTGTAGATTGGTGGTTTGGACATGTCTCAGCTAGGACAGTTTTCCTCTGCTGTGCACGATCTTACTCCCACATCTGTGGTCAGTGAGCACGATGGCAAGCTGACTGGCTTCATTTACGTGTCTGCCAGCTGCCCGGGTCTGTTGGCTTGAGTGCCTGGGTTCTCCCTCACATGGCTTCTTCAGCAGCTAGCTCAGGCTTCCTCACATGATGGCCTCCAAAAGGCAAGGAACAAAAGCAGCAAGGCCTCTCAAGGCCTAGGCTCAAAAGGGCTGGAACATCCCTCTCACTGCATTTTATTGAGCAAAGCCTGTCCCATGGCCAGCTCAGGTTCAAGGAGGTTAGAAAGAGCGTTCATCTCTTGAAGAGAAAAACACCAAAGTCATCCTGCGAAGAGTCGTGTGTACCAGGATGGCCAGAATTGTTGTGGCTGACTTTGCGAACACACCACATGAAGTGATCATACGTCCGGACCTGGTTAGATAAGTTATCATGTAGCTAAATGTGGAGCTGTGAACCACCAGAGCTAATATTTTGGGAGCACTTAGTATTCGTCAGACTCTATGCAAGAGGCCTTATGTGTATGAGCTCTTTTAATCCTCATGACAGCCCTGGGTGGCAATGACATTTTTATCCCCATTCAGGGATGAAGCCCACCCAAGATCCAGAGAGGTTAAGCAACCTGCACAGGGTCACACAGCTAGTCAGTGGCAAAGCTGTTAAAAAGAATGACAATATACTATCCTGTCGTGGAAAGCTGGCTCTGTCACACTGTTATGTGATGAAAAGCAAGAGATGAAACAAAAGTTTGATCAGAACACATTTAAAAAACACATTTAAAAGTGGGTAAGATGTATATGAGTTAGAGAGTTTTAGACAAAGTTCAGGAAGGATTTACCACAGACTATTAATGGAGCTTATCTCAGAAGAGAGGAAGAGGAGGCAACTTGACTTTAAACACTTCCGTCTGCATTGCACAAATTTTTTATGTTTGAATTTTTTTTTTTTGGTAACAAACATGAATCCTTATTTCAACCCTCCATAAAGGAAAAAGATTTTTTTAAATGTCCTTTCGTTTGACTCTCACCTCTGTCTTCTTCTATTTGGTTTTTACGTTTACTGTTTCTCCCCCCTTTCCTTGACACTGCTCTGGCCCCTCCCTTATCAGTTCTGGCCTGAAGTTCTGTAACTACCTCCAGCAGCCCCTCCCCTCTCCCTCTCCCACGCATCCTGCACACACACACACACACACACACACACACACACACACTGCCACTGGAGGAAAGTTTAGTAACCACTATGTTCCTCTCTTGTCAAGAGTTTTCAGTGGCATTTCATTGCCTTCATGGAAAGTCCAAATCCCTTGGCCTGGTGTCCATGACATTTGTAAATTTGATTCTAACTTGATTGGATTCCAGCTCTGTCATCTACTAGTAGCATAACCTTGGACCACTTATTTGATCTTTCTGAGCCCTAGTTTACTCGTCTGCTTAAGAAAAAAAGAAAGAGGGGTGCCTGGGTGGCTCAGTCAATTAAGCGTCTGACCAGCTTGGGTCACGATCTTAGGGTCCCGGGATCAAGCCCTCCTTTGCTTCTCCCTCTCCCTCTCCCTCCCCCGCCAACCACCTGCTGTGCACTTTCTCTCTCTCTCTCAAACAGATAGATAAAATCTTAGAGAAGGGAAGAAAGAAAGAGAGAAAGGAAGAAAGAAAAAGAAAGAAGAGAAAGAAAAGAAAGATGAAAAGAAAGGAAGAACGAAAATAAGAAGGAAGGAAGGAAGGAAAGAGGGCAGGAAGGAAAGAAACAAGAGAGGATGTAGCATGAAATATCTTGTGGCAGATTAGGTTACTACTCAGTGACTGTCCTGTTCTTCCCCAGCCAGGGCTGATTATATACTCCCTACTCCACTGATCTTAAGCTTGGCCTGGGGGATGTGCTTTGGTGTGAAATGTAGATGAAAGTGACAATGTGTAAATTCTATCCTAAGCCTAAAGAGGTCTCCTGCTTCAGTATCCCCCTGGGAGTTTCCTTCTCCACCATAAAGATGGGACTGTCATCCGTGCATTGCATCTTTTGAAACAGACTTCAAGTCGAAGTTTCTGTAGGAAGGTCCGGGTGAAGAAA